TATCTGCATAATGAATAATAAAGGAACTGAGGAAAAGACCTCACTTAAAAAAAAAAAAAAAAAAAAAAAAAAAAAAAATCCTTAGATATTAGCCAATTAAAATTTAGTATTTTGTCTCAAATTTGGCCACATAATTTTAATACTTATTAAATGCTATAAAGAGTCAAATTTTTAAATAAAATTTTTTTTACTTATTTTTACAATAGCAAAATTTACTAATAAATTTACTGTACTTTGGATATTCTAATAAAAAATAATTTTTATACAATTTTACTCTAGCTTCAACTTCAATTTTAACTTTAATTATGTACTATACTGTATATTACAAGCTATACTACTGTATATATATAATTATAATTTTAGAATTAATAACTTTATAATAAGTACTTTTATAGCAGTTATTAATTATTTTATAAGTACTTATGATGTAATATATCTAACTCCTGTTTCTTAATATGTTTTTGAAATACAGTATAACACCCTGCCACTATAAATTAAGTACTTATTTAATATTACTAATTAAATGAGTATAAGGTTGTAATTGATACAACTTCTTGATAATAAAAGCTTGATTTTTGATAACTCTAACTTGAGTCCTATTTTTAAACCAAGCAACAAGTTCTTGATCATCTAACTTTTTTAATATTACCCATTCAAATAATATGTTTATTGCAGTATAAAAAGTCTAATTAATATCCAAAGACTTTTTATATTTCTAGTCAGCTGACAAAAACAGTCTTTTCCATAAACTCTCACATAAACTAAACACATCAAGCATGTTTGAACAAATATTTAAACGAAATTTAATAATGTTGAGCAAATTTGAGTCAAAAATCCGACAAATAAAATCCCGAAAAAAAAATAGGTCAAAACTATAGCTAATGCTAACTTGCCGGGATTTTATTTACCGGGATTTTGATCAACTTCCGCGCTGACATTATAATGATAAAACTGCCTGCAGAACAAAGTAACGATAGTTCTTATGCCGATCATGCCAAAATCAATAATTTATCGAATCGGCAGAGAAATAATTCGACTAATCCCCCGATCACTATGCCAAGATCACGAGGATTAATGAATAATATCCTGATCCATATGTGAATAAGCGGAAACGAAGTTTCCGCTCAATGGATCAGGATATTATTATTACTAATTTTTTATCAGGTGCCCAGGATTTATGATAATAGCTGTAACACGAAATACGAGCGAGATTGGTCGGGAATTTGCGATAGTATATATGACTATCAGAAATAACTCGAGTAATTTATTATAATCCCACGTCTCTATATGATCGATGTAAACCAAACCCGGTAGTTTGGGACTTGGTAGAATCTCAAAGGTTTTACTAGATTCAACGATTGTGTCGTAGCTACGTTGTAACCCAAACTTATGCATCACTGGCTATAGTACGAATAGTAATAAGTAAATCGAGTATAAACATTAAACAATTGGCCTTAGGATTTGGGATATGCAAAAGAATAGAACGGGTTTTGGTTTAAAATTAAATTCGGAATATTGATAAAATGTCAATCCTAAACCCAAATTAAATAAAAATCCCAATTCGATTTGGTAACGTCGCTAATCGCTTTACGTCTTATGATCTTTGTATTTCCTTGGTTTACCAGGAAAATAACAATCGTCTTGGTTAAATTAGTGATTACAAGTCTTAAACCACTGCCATGAAATTATACAAAACCTTTAGTTCTCACTACGGGGAAATGGCCCGGTAGATCTCCGGCAATATAAGGGCCCGAGGACTCTCAAATAACCGGGGATTTACTTCTTATTCCCGTCGTTGCGAGAAATAAATAGTACATGTTTGGGTAGAGAGTCAAACCTCTCTAATTTGTAGGGAATTATAGTATGTTAGGAGAATTTATAATAATTGTTAAGGTAATTATCACCAGTTGTGCAAAAATTGTTGGCCCTGAGACTAATCCAACAACGATGCTATTTCAGTACTTCCAACCTTTGTTTAACATTAACGTTTTGCGTTACAGCTGTTTTCATAAATTCTGAAACCTAAAAATTTGGTCGTTTCCCAAAATCTCTTCTATCTCGTTCTAAGAATCACCTAATTTTTTTCGGAAACTACCTCTCTGTTCTTGAAACTTCGATACAGAAACAGCGACGTAGTTAGGTGAGAGATCGAAAAGTTTTCGGGAAATGATGTTGCACCAAATATATAAAAATTTGATAAACCTGACGAGCAAAACAGTGAAAAACTCGGAAAATAAAAAACGGCTAATTTTTATAGTCTACTCCGTTTCCATATTTGGAGGATTGTATTACGATGATTGTCTAATCAAATATTTCTGATCAACAAGTTAGCTGTTAACATCGTTGTTATCATCATTCATTTTCGAAAACTCTTTAGTCAAATTGCTTCAATGAATTTACAGCAGTCTTCTTTGTCAAAAAATGCTTTAAAAAAACTTTTAAAACAACAGAAATGGGAGGAATCACGCAAAGAACGAAAAGCTGCTCAGAAAGAAAAAGATAAAAAAAAAAAACAGGAAAAAAGGAAAGCTGTGGAATTAGGTATATAAATCTTTATACAAGTCACTCTCGTTATAGTGAACTCTCGATATAGTGAAGATTAGCTATAGTGAAGAATTTTTTTAGAACAGAATTATTATTACTATAATAAAAGGCTCTCGATATAGTGAATCTCTCAATATAGTGAAGAAATTTTACAGCCCGAGGACTTCATTATAACGAGAGTGACTTGTATGTTAAAGTTTTTTTGCTATCTGTTGATAATGACTATCACATGGATTCTTTAGGACTCGTACCACCTCCACTTAAAAAATCCAAGCCTAACCAGATTGCTAGTGATATGAGGGTAGTGATTGACTTATCTTTCGATTCGATGATGGCAGATACGGTAACTTTATATTTTTCTGTTAATAACTTGTTCTGATTTATCTGATTTATCTGATTTTATTAACTTTTAATTATATTCAATTTTACAAGGAAATTACATCCGTATCTTCACAATTGACTCGTTGTTATTCTGCCAATAGATCTACTTCGCGTCCTGTAAATTTATTTTTTACTTCATACGGTCAACGTATTCAAAATCGTTTCGAAACAAAAATCCAAAGCCATATAAATTGGAAAGATGTGGTATTTGATACTAAATCTTATTTAGAACTTTTCGATAAAAATGATTTGGTATATTTGACTGCTGACGCTACCGATGTGATAGATGAATTAGATGAAAATAAAGTTTATATAATTGGTGGAATAGTGGATAAAAACAGGCACAAAGTATTTTATTTATTCTTATATTATCTTTGCTTATATATATTCTATTTTTCTTATTTATTTATGCTTAGAATCTCTGCTATGATAAAGCCAAAAAAGAGAATATTGCAACCGCTCAATTACCCATTGGAAATTGTATTAAATTGACTACAAGGAAGGTGCTCGCAATTAATCACGGTTAGTATTATTATTATCTTTATTCAAATTTTTATTTTCTTTGTTATTCATTATGTATTCTATGCTACGTATAATTTTGCTTCAGTATTTGAAATCCTCGTTCGATGGTTAGAATGTAAAGATTGGCAAAAAGCTTTTTTGGAAGTGATACCTCAGAGAAAATTCAACGAAGAAGGAAAGAAACAAAGGAGGATAAGAAAAAATGTTGATGCTACTGACTTAGAGAGAGATATTCCAGATACTGTGCAAAATTTTTCCGTGGAAGAACATGAACCTTCAGAACAGGTGTAACCGTTATTTTGTGGTATGTACTGTACGTTTAATTTTTCCTAGAAATGAGTCCTTTGACTGAACAATCCGAATGATTCGAATTTCACTCAGTCAGGCCTAGTATTGCTAGACAAAACCTATAAATTTCGTCACTGACGAAAGGTTTTGTCTTCGTCAAAAAAATTTTAAAAAGATGAATGGCAAACTGACGAAACTAACAAAGCTAATAAAATTAATAAAACTAAAAAAAAAAATTATAAAATTAGTAATCTAATATTAATGAATTAAAATTTAGAAAATTTATATACAATAGACTTAAAATTTATATAGTTTTATCGATATATATAAATTAATATAGAACTAGTTTATAGTATTAACTATGGGAACTACTATTTTGTACGTGCCAAGTAAAATCTTGTCTGTAACGGTAATGTTTTAATGCATTCAACAAGTTTTACTGACGAAATTTCCGATAGCTCTACTTAATATATACAAATAGTATCATTAGAATTTAAATCCTACAAGGTTAGAGTTAAAATGATTAAATGCATGAGTTTGCTGGTTTTCATTGGCATTTCTGGATTCATAATTGAAATGATTCTTTATTATATTCAGTATATCACATTATTGTATATCTACTGAATAATAAAAATTTATATTATTCTGTATAAATAACAATAGGTGAATATAAATAACTTTTATTACTAATAAATGTAGTTAATATAAACTGTTGGAATTCGTGGATAGTTATACCTTTTCATTCGTATTTAATTGCTAGTATAAAGATTATTAATCGATGTATTTAGTATTTATCTTTGCACAATATATCTCATGCTGTATATCTCATATACTGTATCTCATTTTAAGTTCATTATACAGTATTCGCGTAAATTCAGTGGATAAAATTATTGATCAATGCATTTATCACAATAAGTTATTCAAGCTTGTAAGGAGATTTTGACTTTCACAGGAGGTTTTATTTTCGTTTCACAGAAATAGTTTCATTCTAACAACACTAGTCAAGCCTCACGTATAGTTATGCTATTTTTTAGCCTCAGTTATTATAGACCTAATTTTTTATTATATATATATATAATATATATAAAATTTATAAGCAAAATTTGAAACCTTATAACCGCATCATCTCTATTTATGACTCTATCGATGAATGAAATTTACGTATGTCTTACTATCAAAACTAACACAATTTTACATTTATAGCATCAAACAAATTTTTTGGTGCGTTTAATAAATCATAACTTTAAATTTTTTATATGATATTCGATTAAGTCATTTAGAAATTTGAACATAATTTCTAACCTAAGCATCCATGCCTTTTGATCTCTACTTTGCAAATAGCAAAACCTCATTTACCAGATATTTCAAAGTTACACCACCTAGCAAGTAGTTACCGAGGGTTATGAATTTTGGGTAGAGGGGTGTACCAAAAGGCAAAACAAGAGGCTGTTTCTTATATGAAAATCTGCCTCAAAACGTGCCAAAAAGGCAATAGTTGACGTTTCTAAAATAAAGCCTGGGGCAATTGAAGCAGCTGGCTCGTCAAAGGGCAAAGTCATAATTATAACCTATAATAGAATGAGCGATGTTATTAAAGAAGCAATATTTAATTTATTGAGAAAATAAGAAAATATTTAATTTAAACTACCACAGTAAGGAGATTTCTGAAACAGACGTTGAAAAGGCAAACAGAGAACATACACAGTGAATTCTATAAGGCCGTAGATGTCACTCATATTCCTGTGCAGCTCAAGCATGTATCAAACCAAAAATTAAATTTCTTTAATATTAAAGTAAAAATAAAGGTAAAAGGTTAGAACTAAGCAGTTTTTATAATAAAATTTAGCAAGAAATTTTTTTTATTAAAGCTTAAAAGATAATTTTCTAGACAAAATTTTGAGATATAATTGTTTTTTTAAAATTTTTTTTATTTTTGTTATACAAAGCTAATTTGTATATTATACAGTATTTGATCTTAAATTTTAATTGGTTAAAATATTTTAGCATTACAGTGCTATAGCTAAAATTAAAATCCAATAGATAAATAATAATTTAGTTACTTTTAAAGAATTTTATTTTGTAAATATTTAATACAAATTGTATTTTCTCATAGATATTGCTCTTTTTAAAATTTTTTTGAGACTTGGAACAAATTATTTTAGTAAAATTTTTTTAATTTTTAAAATATTTCATCAACAAAACAAAACACCAGTAGGGCCTTTTTGGGAGTTCTGGCACAGTAGAATCAATCTTGTATATAAATTTGCATTTGTGTCATCAGATTAATAACAATTTTTTTGTATATCTAGAATGTAATTATTTACCTAAATTCATATTAAAAAGAGTACAGTAAGAGTGTAGATTTGTATTTGCATTGTCACTTGAATGCTAATAAATTTGTATTTGCATCATTATTTTGGCACAGTGATATCATTTTTTGTATATCTAGAATACAATTTTCTGCTTAAATTTATATTAAAAAGATAACAATTATTTATACTATCTTGTTTGCTATTATTTATATATCAAAAAACTCAATAACTATATCAATATTTTTGTATAACTAGAACATATTCTTTTATCCAAATCTATATCAAAAAGAATATCAATATTATTTAATATAGCAGAATTTATTCTAAAAACAATTCTTTACTACTTTTCTTGTACAAAAAATGTAATTATATATAATAAAAGAGTAACAAAAAGTATATATATATTACTCTCTCCAAGTGACAAGTCTAGAGTTCAAATTTCACGGACGACGGCATTTGAAAAATAGGCTTGTGTTTCGGTTGATGGCTATGCTTATTGGTTGGATCTAGAACTAATCTGTAACTTCGGTCACACCATCTTGTAATAGAAGCTTTGGCACAATAAATCTGAGAAACCAGCATAACCGAAAACCCATTTGGCAAGTCCCGAATTAGAAGTAGCAGTGATATTCAACAGTATCACAGGAAGGCTGAATTTGAACCGGGCCTGAGATCGGAGAACTAAGCAACCAGGTCCGCTAGCGGAGGACATATCAGCCAAACTGCCGGGTTGTCACACCGGAGGAAAAGGACATATGCTTCGAAAGTATGGACCAAGAGGAGGGCGTCTCTTAGGCACCTAAAGCCTGGGCAGACCAATCTATCCAAGTTGCTAGCTGGAAGTAAGGGAGAGACCGGTAAAGAATCCGAGTAAGAAGACAGCTAGAATGTGAGTACTGGGGTTGTTGTAAACCTTACAAGGGCAGGAGTATGTAATGGAAGACTAATTAGGAAAGTTGTGCTTGAGATACAGATCGGGTTATAGCAGTATCTCAAAAAGTTGGCTTGAAATATGAACCCAATAGCGACAGTACAACAGATACTAGTTAGGAAGAAATTACCAAACATGCAGGTAAAAACATGTGTAGGACATGGACTACTCTGTTAGATTTACCTTGTAGATAGACTAAACTCAATATGAGGTTTAGTAAGTCCTAAGGTGGGTGCAAAATCTATAGGTGTTACAAAATCTACTTCTGAATAGTGAGTTATACCTTGGTTAAGTAGAAGCCACTGGTGGTTATAACCAGAGGGTTTAAATGGGTACTCCTCTAGTTGGGGTACAGGTACAGTAGATAGTGTAGAACCTTTGGGTGGACTACCTAAATAGGCACTTAAAAGGTGCATGTGTGGCTTAATATATCTTCGTTATAATTGTATAATATCGTTTCTACTTAATAAAAAGTCTCCGGCCAAAGAAGTCACCTTAATACTGAAAAAAAAAAAAAAAAAAACATATATATATATAACAAAGAGTAACAAAAAAATATAACTATATATACCAAAGGGTAACAAAAAATATATACATATATAACAAAGTATAACAAAAAATATAACTATATATGAGGTGTGGTAACTTAGTGTAGTTGGTTAGTTGTCACTTTCCCAAGCAGCAGGTCTAAAGTTTGAATCCCATAGACGACGATTTTGAAAAATAGATCTGCATTATAGTTAACAGTTGTCGATTATCGGTTGGATCTTAATCTGTAATCTTGGTTACACCATCTAGTAATGCAAGCTTTGGCGCAATAAATCCGAGAAACTGGAATAACTGAAAACCCGTTTGGCAAGTCCCGAGTTGGGATGTAGCAATAATCTTTGACAGTACTACAGGAGGGCTGAATTCGAACTGGGGCCCGAGATTGAAGAACCGAGCGACCAGGTCCTATGGCGGAGAACATACTAGCTGAACTGCCGGGTTGTCGCACCAAAGAAAAATAGCATACACTCCAAAAGAATAGACCAAGGGGAGGGCATCCTTCAGATATCTAAAGCCTGGGCAGACCAACCCGTCCGGGTTGCTGGCTAGAAGTAAGGGAGAGACCAATAAAGAATCCAAGTAAAGAAACAGTTTCAAATGCGGGTACTGGGGTTGTTGAGAGCCTTATAAGGGCAGTGAGTATATAATAGGTGACTAATTAGGAAGGTTGTGCTTGAGATACAGATCGGGTTATGGTAGCACCCCAAAAGTTGGCTTGAGATACGAACCTAGTAGTGGCAGTACAACATGTACTAGTTAGATAAGAAGTTACCGAACATGCAGATAAATACATGTGTAGAACATGGACCACTCTGTTAGGTTTACCTCGTGAATAGACTAGCTTTAGATGGTTAGTAAGTCCTAAAATGGGTGCAAAATCTACAGGTGTTGCAAAAGCTACAATTGAATAGTGAGTTACACCTTGGTTAGGTAGAAGTAATCAACAGTTAGGGCCAGAAGGTTTAAATGAGTACCCCCCTAGTTGGGGTGTAGATACGGCAGATAGTATAGAACCTTCGGGCGGACTACTTAAATTAGACACTCAAAAGGTGCACATGTGGCTTGATTAATAGTGCAGACATTTTTTAGAGTAGTAACTATATATGGCATTACGGCTATGATGTGAATATCATACTACCTTTAGGTCATGTTGCTGTTATGCCATATGTAGTAATAAAGTAGTATGCCATAAGTGTCATAATAGCATGGCA